AAGACACGTTTTGAAGCGGAAAATATGTCGCGAGAACTGGAAGCTAGAAAAGCCGAATTATCGCTTTCAAATGAAACAAATGCTTCGAAACAGGTGAATTCTTGGATAATGTACGGTTGGCCAGATGACATTTTGGTTTCCGACAGTAAAATCTTTGAATGGTAGTGGTCAGATCGCAAGTGTTGCAAAAAGAAGAATGTGCTAGCAGCAAGAAGAAGTAGTTGGTGGCTAAACCTCTTCGCCTTGCCCACTTGGCCTTCGAGTCCTTATTATATTGCAAATATGCCGTCTCTTGACTCGAGTTCCCCCTCCGAGATCTTTGATGTATTGGTTGGAAATGAAATGTGGATTGTTTTTGTGGCTGTGAAATTGTGCAGTGGCAGCTTGGAACTACTGCTGCTCCCGTTTCTCCGTTCCCTGTTGTCCGGTGGCAGCTTGGAACTGCTGCCGGGTTTTTCTTTTGAGTTCCTTTTTTTTGTTGTTTTAAATAAAGCATTGTTTACTAGTTTGGTGTGCGTACCTCACAGCTGCACCCCGCACAGACCCTTCTCGTCACACATCATACACCAGACGTTACTAGTACTATTTCTTATGAATCCGTTCCTAGGCAAATCCTCATAAACTTCGTTCTGGATAAGTTTCTGTACAATGGTCGAGTGGAAAGGCGTAGTGTTGGAGGGTGAAGCGAGAAAGAGGGGGCAGTTTCCCTCACTGTACGCTCGCACGTATCAGTTTTGGAACATGCATCAAGGTTAATTTTTACAGGCTCACATTGATCGTTTGAACGAAATCATTGAAGAGGAGCGCAACAAAAGAAGTGAGGAATTCGCTAAGTTGAACAGTCGATTGACTGAAAAAACGATGGAATGCGGACGACTGATTACAGAAAATGTGTCGATAAAGGTAATATTTGAAAAACTTTACACAGTCAGTGCTTGAGTGTGGTGGAGGCGTTTTGGAGCGAGACACAGTTGGCTTGCTTTTTCCAGGCTCTTTTACAGTGGACGGCACGTGAGCTATCGTCTAAAAAGCAAAAAATGAGTAAATAGCCAGTGAAAAACACGTACCGGTGAGTGGAATGTAAGGGGAAAAGCAAGAATTTTCGTAGCAGCAGATTTCATCTGCACTGTTAATCATGCAATGAACATATCAATTCAGTCCCAGTTTATTTAGGTCCAAAATTATTATTTACTAAAATGTGGAAAAGCGCTGCTTGCAGGCAATTTGTTTTTAATGGGGGTTTATTGCAGAATTGTTTTTGTGATAGTGAATATTTAAATTCGTCCTTGAAGTATGTTTGCGTGTGTTTGTTTGCTAAATGTCCTGTACAGATTACAATAAACCAATCGTAATTCTTAATCCCAAATTCTGTACAGATTATAATGAGCCAATCTTCTATCTTTTTTGTATCATAAATCGTAGCTACAGCACTAGTTTTCAGTTTCATATTCCATAATTCCAGTTAGGGTAACCATCGAAGCGAGATTTTCGAGCAACTGTGTTCGAGTCGAATCATCTAGCACTTACATATAGAAAATGGAATAAGGGGGAGAAGAATAGACAGGCAGGAGGAAAGGGGAAGAGGGAGGGGAGGGGGAGGAAGAGGGAATGTGGAGGAGGAAAGAGGGCGAAGGAGGGACAAAGATGATGAAAGAAAAATGAGAGAGGAGGCGGTCGGATCAAGCGAAAGTAGACACCGAACTGATATTTGGCTATCATTAAGCCGGTTTACTTAGCTTTTCAAGCCGTGGATATAGTATTTTGAGCTTCATCTCTTTTTTTGCTAAATTCTGAAATTTTTTGAATTTTTTTTCCAATAAAAACGGAATTTAGGCGTACTTTAGACGACATTGATGGAACTACCGCTAAATGAACAAGCAGAAAAGACGTATAATATTATGCAAATAATATTTTAGGCCCGGTTAAAAGCACTGGAGGATGCGAATTCAGCGAAAGAAACGCTTGTCAGTGATCTGACCAGACGTCTTGCGTCCGAATCAGCAAAAAGAGAGGAAGAGGACAAAGCACTGGCAACAAGACTGTATATTCTTGCAGATGAAAATGCGACATTGCGTACATCGCTTCTTGCACTGGGTGCAAGCAATACAGGGCCTTCCAAACGTACGTGGCCTTTGATGAATTCAAAATTAAAAAAAATCGGAAGTAGTGCAGAAGACTGGTGGAATGTTTCGGTTCTGGCGGTCATCCCTTTCAGAACACTTTTTATCTTTGGCTGAACTCGGCACTGATATGCGACCCTGCGTGCTAAAAAGTGAAAATTTAGCAGCTTCGCACAAGTAATTTGATTACCTATAAGTTTATTCATTTGTTATGAGTGAACTTATAGATAATCAAATTACTGTATGGTAAAATAATCAGCCTGATCTTGAACTAAAAATAATCACATACATGTAATATATGTTATGAGACACTGAAGCGGAATCTTCGGTTTAAACTTTTAGTTCAAGGCCAGGTTGGTTATTTTTCTTCTTTCAGCTCACTCCTTTTTATGCGTTTTGTGCATCTGTGCAATACAAAAACATATATTACGGGGGGTTTTCTGTGTGCTTCTGTACCGATTTTTGATTTCGAAACCTACAAAATCTATAAGACTGAAACTTTGAGAAATTAATCTACATGCATGTCTAGGCTCCTATCCCCAAAATGGATGCTCATTCCCACGTTGTTTTCACGGACAGGTCCGTGAAATTTTTTGGCGCAAATCAGAAAAGTTAGAAAGATGAAATTTTAAGGGGCTGTTTTCTGACAGCCATGATGGCCAGTCTCAATTCTTTTAGCTGGAAGCATCTGTCGGAAAAAAACAGTGCAGTTAACGACAGAGACCAGCGATAAACTATGAAAATAAATGGCCAGCGGTTTTCGGTGCGAAGATGCGTTTTTTGCGTGGTTCTCCGCAGATTTCTGGGGCTAGCGGCACTGGTTTTTCCAGCAGATGCTTCTAACTAAAAGAAATGAAACTGGCCGTCAGGACTGTCAGGAAACATCCCTTTAAAATTTCAGCTTTCTAGCTTTCCTGGTGCTCGAGTTAGCAGTTTACCTGCGAAAAAATTCATAGACCTGTTCGTGGGTACCATGCATACCCGGTGCCCGGGTTTGAGCTCTTTACACCGACGTGGACGAGGGACATTTCCTTAAAATTACAGTCTTCTAACTTTTCAGTTTCCCGAGTTAGCAACTTACCCGAAAAAAACTTTCACGGTCTCGTACACAGGCACCACGCATACCCGGGGGTTGAGTTTGAACGCACTAATGCCTACTTGGACAGGAAATATCCCCTTGAAATTCCAGTCCTCTAGCTTTTCAGATTCCCGAGTTAGCAACTTACCCGAAAAAACTTTTAGCGGGTTCATACGTAGGTATCACGTGGGAAAGAGCGCCCATTTTGGAGATGAGGCTCGTACGCCCATGTAGATTAAGTTCCCAAAGTTTCAACCCTGTGGCTTTTGTAGGTCCCGAGATGAAAAATCGGTACAGACGAACACATAGACACACACATACACACACACACACACACACAGAAAACCTCTCGCCAGTGTGCGTTTTCTGCACTGCATAGCTGCAAAAAAAAGCGTAAAAACGCTTCTTCGCACCGGCGTTCGGTGTGCTGATCAATTGTTTGAACTTCATTACTTCTTCCACTGTATCTCTGGAGGGACGGAGATGCTCGGATGTCGGCGAGTTATGATAGTTTTTACGCTTTTTTTGCAGCAATGCAATGCGAAAAACGCATATTGACGAGAGGTTGTCTGTGTGTGTGTGTG